CTAGAAGTAGCGTTAGATTCGTACTGGCTAAATAGCACTGGGTTCTTCCTCCTGCTCCAGGCTGTGAACGTAGGACCTTCTTGCGCTTGACCCGCCACGCCGGCTGAACATCGGCTCTGTTGGGCCTTACAGTTATGACTAGTTCTAGTTGTGCGGTGAGTTACCGTTTCATGCCGTCCGTAGGACCCGTGCTTATAGTGGTCAGAGATCGAGTGACTAAGTATGCAATGAGGAAATCCTAGTGGAGTACTGGACAATGCCAACCCCATGCCATCATAGCAGAAGAATGGGATTACCATTCCTCAGCTAGTGATAAAAAAATGGGGTTCTGGTTTTTGCGGTTATTGTCATTTTCATCCGCGGATTTTGTGACTACAAAGACATACTGTTCTACTGTTCTAATAGACGAGGAGCTAAGATCTTGATTGCTTTTTTTTGTATATGATAGGACGGCAATCAAGCAGTATTACCTGAAGAAAGGACATTTTAGGATTGGGGAGGGATTGAGGGAGGGTTCGGATTGGGTCTCCGGTAACCTCACTTATACGGCGAAACACAACGCTGTGGTTGTTTCACGCCGGTTTTCTATGAGGCCGTGGTATCGCTCTGGTCGAGCCGACCCATTCGTGCTGAAGCAAGGCTCTCCCACACTTGCCTTAATACCTTTATCTAACAGTCAACCACTGGGTGATGCAGAGATCTTTAACAACAGATGTAAAATAAACAAAAGAGGGATTTTGACCTCAATATTTTAGGGGAAAAAAGAGTAAAGATTCCTAAGATCGGAATAAGAGGATCCTCCGACCAGGCGAAGTGTTCAAGGCGAGCTAGTCCAACAGTTTGTGCGATGAGATCTTCTATCTGTGTTAAATCATGCGCAAACTTAATTCGCTTGATTTAGGGTTGATTTTTCAATAGTCAGATAAAAGTTATCTGGAGAATAATTATGATGCTGTCGCCTTAGAATGTTTGTATAAGACAGTGACAGCAACAATTTTATTCCTCAAATAACATTTATCTGACTATTGAAAAATCAGCCCTTAAGATACGAAGATGTGACGTCATCAGTTGATTACTTAAGTAATCGATCGATCGATCGGTTTTATAAATGTGTGTCGACATAATCCTACTTCCTACATCGTACCTACGCAAAAACAAAATGGACTGAAGAGAGAGAGTGGAAGTTTTGGTTATTTATTTTTTAGAGATATGAGAGAACAGGGTGGAAAGTTCCTCATCCTCCATTGAGAAGGGAGGATCCTCCGACCAGGCGAGGTGTTCGTGCCTGGTGGGCTACTGCTCGACAGTTGTTGTCGGGATTTTTGTATAGGTGCTTATTAGCGCGTAAACTTCACTGATGTAGAATCTTTGCACACGATTGGTGCTGTTGTTAATGTTGTGCGACAGATGTCGCTACAATTTACTAGCTTCTGGCCACGACTTCGTTCGCGTTGAATAGTGACTTCCCGCAGATTTTTGGTATAAAAACTAATCCTATGTTCTTTCTGGAGTTCCAAACTACGTCTGCACCCATAGAAATGTCTTCAGTAGTGTAGGCGTGATGAAAAGACAGACAGAGTTACTTTCGCATTTATAATTTTAGTTTGGATTTTTAAGTTAGTAAGAAATAAAGCGTAACTATAGGTACCACTTTACACATTCATAAATTCATAGCCCATATAAACCTGTTGCTAACATAAGCAAGAAACAAGAATATGATATTCTACAAAAGACGACATCTGAACAAATATTTACCTCAGGTAATGTTTGCTCGGATATCTGTAAGCAAATATTCGGATACTTTTACCTTAACTCGCATCCTTATACAAAATAATAGTTTCTTTTCCGATCCTTTAGGGATCTTTTATGGACATTTTCTTCTTTGTTTTTATTCAGAATTCCAAAATAAACAAGAAGTAGTCTGCTGTAGTGATCGCAGGATAGAAGATAGAATATATCTTTACTCTTTGCCCGAGTGTAGTAAAAGCCGACTGAAAGGCTATGTATATATATAGATATAAGACAGGATCCTGGCAGCTGCACTATCGGACAATCGTTTATTTTCCTAACCGTTGCCCCACAATAGGATTTTCTGCTGAGTAGTGGGTGCGTTTACACACATACAGTTTCACATACACATCACACCCAGACCCGGAACAACAATTTATGCAACACACAAAGAATTGTTCCGTGTGGGAATCGCACCCGCAACACAATACGTGGCATCCAGTTGCCCAGATAACACACCAACTGTGCAGTCGCTGCTTACCCCTTTAACTGCTACTTTCCCCTTCTTTTAGGAAGGCAAATCATCAAATGACTTCTCTCTTAATCGATACGTAACGAGTGGGTTGTTGTCTCTGTTAAAGTGTCTGCAACATAGGTGCATATGAGTAGGTAATATCACATCTCAAAAAAAACCGGCGTGCTATAATCCTTTTATTTAAATAGAATATCATCAAATTAGTTATTTAGCCCAGGATATAGCAATGAGGGAGTGTCCAACACTTACAGACTGAAACTCCCCCGTTCCTTCTCCTGCTTAGGGCCAAAGCTGGTGCCATATTGTCCTTGATCCGCAACACCGGCTGAACATCAGCCATGTTAGGCCTCATCTGTAGTGATACTAATTACGTTAGTCAAGCAGCAAGAAAATGGCAAAGATGGGCCCGACTCAGAGCAGAAAAAACAAGGAGGTTTTAGTCAATAAGGCGAGTCCAACGCTCGCTTTCGCCCCATCCAGATTGAAAAACGCCTTTGGATGATGATTACCCTCAAAAAGAAAATATCATACATTATCTCAATGCTCAAGGTCACAGTAAGTTTACAGACATATAAGATCGGAGTATCGTTTTCACAAATGTGGGATCGCACTATAAATATCAAACATACTTAGGTAACGTTATGTTAAGCGCTGAGGTATGAAAAGACTGCGTGGTTGTAGCAATTGGTTGCTGAGTAACGCGTCACGGGTTAAATTTTCGCACAATACAATTCTCCGTATGTTCCACAAACTGTTGTACACTTATGTGATTTTTTTTTATTTGTAAAGCGCATCTACGTAATAGGAGAAAATCCTACTATGAAGCAACGTGACTAAAAAAAGCTTTTCTGATACTCTTCGTATTTACAATGAAATCCTTATCAACAAATTTTAAAAACTGCCAGTTTTCCTGATACAATTTATCATCTATTAGTTTAGAAGAGCCATGTTTCGGCACGAATAGACCGGCTCGACCAGAGTGATACCACGGCCTCACAGAAAACCGGCGTGAAACCATCACAGCGTTGTGTTTCGCCGTGTGAGTGAGGTTACCGGAGGCCCAATCCTTCCCCTCACTCAATCCCTAATTCTCCAAATCCTTAATCCCTAAAAGATCAGCAATGCACTCGTAACTCCTCCGTTGCGGGTGTCCATGGGCGGTGCTGATTGCTTACTATCAGGTAATCCGTAAGCTCGTTTGCCGAACCATTACATAAAAAAAATGAGAAGAGTTGAAAATCGAGCTCAGTGACTTACAATTGGAAAGGCCTATGTCCAGCAATGGACGAAAACAGGTTGATGATGATAATGATAAATAATGATGAAGTTTAAAATTTGAAGAATCCTTTAATGTGACAGAGTAAATAAATAATATACCATCACATAACGTAAGCTAAGTAGGTTTTGATCTTCATTTGTTTGTTTTCGGATTCAAAGATGGCTGACAGTGGAGACGCAATGAGTGTCGCCTAGCAACGACCTACCTATATCGGGGACAAATTATATTGAAGCATGGAGATACTGAGAAAATTCTCATTTCTATTTAAATATAGAAAAAAATATATTCACTTATATTTTTTTTATATTTTATATTGAATAGGTACCTACCTTTTAAATATCGTCGCGTCACAGATAATTAAGTATTTTCTGCTTGAATTCTGAAGACTTTTTGATAGATAATTAATATTTAGAGATACTTTCCGTGGATGCCGCAAGAGGCGATTCAGGGACTGGCTTTTTTGAAAAGGACAAAACATCTTTTCTATCTTTCTCCTTCCCTGGTTAGGGCGAGGATCAGACTCTTATTGACCAAAAACCGTTCCGTTTCTTTTTCTGTTCTGAATCGACTTGGAGACTGTGCTATCGGTATTGACTGAGCATCAAATCTCTATCTGTACGTTAACTGTGACCTCATCTACAAAATATGACAATCGTTGTCTCTGTTAAGGTCTCTACAAAATATATACGCCTCACAAAAAAACCAGCGTGAAATAATGCTTACGTGTCTCTTTATAAGTATGGTTAGTGGCGGCCATCCTGCCCGCTCCATAATCTTAATTCCTAACCCCGAAATAGCTGGAAACGCACTATTAGGTATAATTCATTGATGTTACGCGCGGCCCCTAACGAATCCAATCCTAAGGTGATCAGACCTTTCAGCTAGGTGGACTGACGATATTCATTGATTGGCTTACAGTGGTTGGATGAGAAGAGCTGAACATCGGCATGCAATTGAAACCTATGTCCAGCAGTGGATTAGACTGATTGTTTGCAATTAACTCAAACAAAAACTCTAATGGTGTTTGTTAAGATTTCTGTTATTAAATATAAGTCCGTTCGTTGACTCTTGCGACTCCCCAAAAAGGACAGAAGAGCAAGGGTGGTGATAGAACTATTCTACTCTGCTGTGACCTCCTGGCTTAGATCTGTCCAGGACTTCTTATTCGTTTTACGTCATAAACTATCAAACTAACCGACGGATTACCTGATGGTCAGCAATCGGCGCTGCCTACAAATGAGTTGCAAAAAGTGCGTTGGGATTCAGGGAAGGGGAAGGGATGGAGTAAGAGGAAGGATCGCGACTCCAGTAACTTTACTCACGAGGCGAACCACAATGCTGTGGTGGTTTCACGCCGGTTTTCTGTGAGGCCGTAATAGCATTCCGGTCGAACCGACCCATTTGTGCCGAAGCATGGCTCTCCCACAATTTTACTAACATAAATTCTGATTGTTCCAGGATATCGACTATGAGGGGTTCCGCTGGTTTCTGGACACATTCCTCGAAGTATCAGCCCCAGATGAACTGTCCAGGTAAGCTATTTTATATATAAAAGTTAATCCCAATTTCCTCGGTCATGTCTTCAATCGTGAACTGATAGACCAGATCCGAAAATTCTTTTTATGCTGTGTTCGCTAAAACCAGGGGAAGGTTTTTATAAAAGAAAAGTAATGTGGAAAATTGGAAGAGCGACCTCTTTGGTGCTATAGTGGTTTGCTAATAAAACAAATGACTGACTCCAAAATAGCTGGACGTCCGTGCGCCGACGAACGACGAAAGACGGGATAGTGTTATTCATTACAATACTTGATTACTGGATTTTTTTCCAGTGATTACGTACTTGTGGGCAAAGAAATTAAGCTTTTTTTTATTGGTATAAGTCGGCAAACGAACAGATGGATTCACTGATGGACAGCAATCGGCGCCGCTCATGGACACCCGCAACACCAAAGGAGTTACGAGTGCGTTGTCGGCCTTTTGGGGATAGGGGTTGAGGATATAAGGATTGGGAAGGGATATGGGAAGGGGAGAGATTGGGCCTCCGGTAACCTCACTCACACGGCGAAACACAACGCTGTGGGTTGTTTCACGTTGGTATTCTGTGAGGCTGTGGTATCACTCCGGTCGAGCCGACCCATTCGTGCCGAAGATTGGCTCTCCCACACTTAAAGTAAAATATAACTGCCTATCTAGTCATCATAAAATACAGTTGATCCACAGTTTTTAATTACTAAGTTAAATCTTTTAAAAGTCCAGTGTGATACAGCTATGCTTAGGCACAAAATGGTCCGAAAGCAACCGAAGTGATGTCAAGGGCTCAAATAAAAATAACGTTGTCTTTCGCTACGTGGGTGGAGTTTATCCCACATACCCAATCCCTAAATTAAAATTAATCCTTAAATTAAAGTCCCAAAAGGTCGACAACGCACTCGTAAATCGGTTTGATCTGGTTCGTAAGATCGTTTGATACCTTATCTCATAAAAATATATAACAGAAATATAGTTCAAAGTTTAATGAAGAGAAATTTTTAAATAGTAACTATCATGAGACATAGAATATTAATTGATAATATCGACTTCATTCTTGCTTCATCTAGTTTTTCACATATAAATTGACGTGTAAAAGTGCCGTTTTATGGCCTATTTGCAAAAATAAATTCATTGTTTCATTGTTTCATTGACTTACTCGCGTGAATTGCGTATAAAAACTGCTAATGAATAAGAGTCCCGTTGTGACTTGAAACTCGTAGTTAATTCTATATTTTATCTATACTAATATTATAAACAGGTAAAATTTATAAGTTTGTATGTAGGGGAACCGCTGATCGGATTGCCGAAATTCTTTCACTGATAGATAAGTACAATGTTACTGCAGTGCTATAGGCTATAAAACATCACGATACAATCAAATGGAGCTTAACAGCGGTTGAAACCGAGCGAGAGTAGCTGGTCTTAAATAAATTGCAAAATATGTTGGTAAGCGCATAACTCAAAAACACCTGGACCAATTTTGCCAATATATATATATAGAAGAGCTAGGATAGGGAAGTCTTTCGTTCTTATCGAGATTGTTTGAGACCCGTGCCAGGCAAGTGTTGGATACTAGTTGTCAATAAATAAGAGGAACGATTATTTGACTTCAATTCTTTTTTTACGCAGCCCACACACTAGGATTTTCTCCTGTTTTGTGGGTGCGTTTAAAACATACAATTTCACATACACATCACACCTAGACCTGGAACAACAATTTGTGGATCACACAAAGAGTTGTTCCGTGCAGGAATCGAAACCGCGACACGTTGTGCGGCAGCCTTCGCGCTAACCATGCAGTCGATTATGGTTTACAAAACTTTTGTTTATTTTTCAGGCACCTGTTCCTCTCGTTTGTACGTCGAGACCGGCGGCCGGCGCTCCGCGAGATGGCAGCAGCGAGTTCCACCGCCGCTTGCGCAGCCGTAACCGCTCATGCAGACCATCAGGTAAAATAACTTTTTGTGCAGTAGCCCATAAGACAATCTACTTCTTATTGTCTTTCATCATTAAATCTTCAACTTCATAAATTAAAAATAATAAATCTAAAGAGTTTCTTTGTTTAAATGCATTGTTTGTTTTGAGGAGGCTAGTCTTCCTCATCTACAAGAGAAAGTCTGTAAGATAAAAATAATCTCAAAATACCTATATTGGTAAGCTACTGTTAAGTAGTTGTGGTGGCCCAGGAGGTCAACGCGACCACTTCTCGTGCGTGTTCGAAACCTGGCAAGAATCAATGTGAATTTTTCCGAGTTCCATGTAGGTATTTGCTTCGATTATTTAGACACCACTGACATACGGTTAAGGAAAACATCGCGGCTAAACCTGGACCTATGATATATTATCTAATTATAACTTTAAAATCGCCAATCTGCCTTGAGCAAGCCTCGTGATTAGTGCTCAAATCGTCTCCGTATGAGAAGAGGCCTTTGCTCAGGAGTGGACACTTATAGGCTGATGACGATGATGATACTGGCAAACGCATAACTTGATAACACCTCAGCAAAGCTGGTGACACCACATCGGAATTGCCAATTTAATATAGACTTGGGAATCTAATAAAAAAAATTACAAACGGAAGTACGATGATCTCCTGGCCTTCATTTTCCAAAAACGGTACAAATATTTTGCAATCTCCAGGGCAAATTGAGTTTGGCATCCAAGATCCACGGCTTGGCGGAGCGGCTACAGCAGCTGGGCAAGAGTTCCGGAGACTCGGTGGATGGGAGCGATAAGGGGTCCAGGAGTCGCACTGGTAAGCGTTTGTTGAAAATTGATATAATGATGATAATAGTTGAACGACTCCATTTTTCGACTTGACTTTTAAGTATCTATTGCTTCCTGACAAAATATGATTATCAACCACGATAGAAAAAGACTAACAAGGGTAGGAATAAGCTTTCTTGAAGCCCAGTCTTCCACTTCCTCATCCGTACCTAATCCCGGAACCCCGGTAACGCACTTGTTACATTTTTACCTTTGGTGTTGCGGATTTCCATAAGCGCTGTGCCGTTGGCTTACCATCAGGTAATGCATCACATCTTTTGACTTATCAGATAAACTTGATTTTTGATTTTCATATTAAACTATTTTATTTGGCGTTCTAAAGTGCCTCTGAATAATTTGACTTTGTCTTTGACAGTCTCTTAGTCGGTTCCCTCGACATTATTTTCTGCCGTGACCAGATTGCTACTTTAAGGTATACTAATAGCATATCGCCTCTCAATCTTCCAGGAAGCGTCCACCCGATGTTTACAGTAACGACCCACCCCTCATACTCCTCGCACGAGCTCTGCCTGGACCGGCGCAACGAGACCAGCCCAAGCCACAGCCAGATGTCCAGAAACTCCAGCCGGAAGAGCAGCAATTCTCTTAGAGTCAACCAGTCTACTAAAATCGAAGGTAGATCGTCTGTTTTTTTTATGAGATTAACTTGCAAAGGGACGGTAATACCTGATGGTAAGCAGTCGGATACGAATATTAATGTTTGCATTTTTCGTATACTCACCGGATTCGCCAAACGAAAACTTTGGTAGTCAAATGCCCGGTTTCCGAAAGCCCGATCAATGTTAAAATCAACTAACTAGGTGTCAAATGTCTTGTCAAGTCATCTGATTTGACAAGACAGACTTGGACTTTTATGGAATAGGAGGCAAACGAGCAGACGGATCACCTGATGGTAAGCGATCAGCGCCGCTCATGGACACCTGCAACACCAGAGAAGTCACAGGTGTGTTGCCGGCCTTTTAAGAAGGAGTACGCTCGTTTCTTGAAGGTTTGAAGGTTTTATCGGTTCGGGAATACCGCCGCCGGAAGATCATTCCAAAGCTTTCCTGTGCCGGGCAGAAAATTACGCGAAAATCGCACAGTTGTTGACTGCCAACCATCTATGTGATGGGGATGAACATTTTTTCGCGTGGAACGATAGCGACTATAACTTAACGATATTCAAGACTATAACTTAATTTCTGTGCCAATTTTCATTTAAATCCGTTCAGTTGTTTTTACGTATATGAGTCACAAACATCCATTTAAACTTATAGATGATAGATATGATTGAATTAGAACTTTGTATAGCGGTAAGAAAGTGCAAATTTACTTTTTGACGTTAGGAACACACCTATATTTCACGTTAGAAGGTTTTTCTTGTGGGGGAAAATGCTTGCTTTTTGTTTTTAAGGACGGAAAATCATTATATGGGTTCTCTCGCCCAGGGTGAGGCGAGAGGGAGTGTCGGGCTCTTACCTACTGACTAAAAACCTCTCCGTTCCTTCTCTTGCTCTGGGCCGAGGTCAAGGAACATCATTGCGCTTGCTCCGCCAAAAACTAAATTCTGTAGTCAATAATGTGCTAGCGGGGCCTATTCACGTGACATGCAAAATTCAGTAATTTATTTTTTTATTTATTCACAACATTTCACTATTCAGATTTCAGGCACTTAATGAGACGGTCGTCTACTCTAGAAGTCCACACAGCCCGGGTGTCTTTGAAAGACATCGTCTGCTACCTCTCACTCTTGGAAGCCGGAAGACCAGAGGACAAACTTGAATGTAAGGAATTTGGTATTAGTATTTGACTGCATAGTTGACGGTGTGGCTGGGTAACCAATTTACGTAAAGAACCATTTTTTTTTTGTTAATTGGGGCAAGCCTGCCACATTCTCCCTATACCGCTGCAACTCCTGTAAGCCAAGGTCTAATGTAGATAAAAAACACCGGAACACTGAAGTCCCGCGCGTCCCAGGGATATGAATGACTGTCTTGGATCCCGCAACAAACACAATCTGAAGATATTATTTGAAAGAACAATTGTGATAATGTTATTGTGTCATTTACAAATTGTTGTTATGGGTCTGAGTGTGATGCGTATGTGAAATTGTGAAAGCCTTTTTGTTTTTTTAAAAAAGGAGGTATTAATAAGTTGTTTTATTATTTTTTTTCAAATTTAATTCTATGTTGTGACGCATTCAATCTCTGATTTCATAAAATGAAATGAGCAGTCACTTTATTCAAGAATCAAAACCATGATACATTTGTACAGCCCGCGCCAAACTTTGTGACCGCCCTGAATTTAGTCGCGAGTCCGAACTTGCCCATGGTACAGTCGAGTGGGCAATACTAAATCAACCAATTTTCGTTTTCTAACATTTTTAATACTGGTTGATTACGTATATACTAATATTGTTTGATTACGTTTTGCCCACTCGATTGTACCATACGCAAGTTCGGACACGCGACTATATTCAGGGCGGCCACAAAGTTTGGCAAGAGCTCTACAATAAATAGATTTGACAATCACAGGTTTTGCTCACAGTAAAGAAAAAGATAACTTTTGTAAAATTAACACCTTCGAACAGTAACGCCATCTATTATCAACAGTTGGAACTTTTATAGAACATTCAAGAGTAAAAATAATGTAGTCTGATAAGTCATAAGATCATAAACGACTTTCTCATAGTAACCAAATTTGAACCTTATAACGTCTACATTACAGTCATGTTTCGCCTGTACGACACGGACGGTAATGGCGTTTTGGACACAAATGAAATGGACTGCATTGTCAACCAAATGATGACTGTCGCGGAATATCTTGGATGGGAGACTTCCGAACTAAGACCGGTAAGTACCTACCTAAGTCATTACAAATTAATCATCAATCAGAAAAAGCCCACTGTTGGACTAACGCGTTGTCCTGCGTGAGCGACAAACTCGACGCGACGCGACGCTGCGAACGCGATGAACGCGATCAACTCAACGGCATACGGCATGGCAGAGTCTGCGGCGAGACGCGACGTAACGCGCACTTGTTTTAAGAGCGACCATGCGACAACACGAACTATAACATTTTTATGTTTTTTGTAAATGTGTTTCTTTGTAAAAATATTATATTAGTTTTCTTTCTGTGCTTTCTACGATATTTTTTTTAAAAGTCTGTACTTTAAATATGAACTTTCAAGCAATATAGTACTGCATTTCTCCATGATTTGAGAAGTAATGACCAAAATCACGGAGGACCTTTGTCGCGTATAGCATCGCGTCGCATTACGTCGCGCCGTGTTGCGTCGCGCCGCATCGCGTTTGTCTTGATTTGATTTGATTTGCGTCGCATTACGTCGCACCGTGTTGCGTCGCGTCGCAATTCGTTTGTCGCTCACGCAGCCATCGATTTATTGATAACTAGAGACCCGCTCCGAGTGCAATGCTGATACTAAATTTCTCAACTATTTAATGGATGTTATTATACATGTACACCTTCCTCTTCAATCACTCTATGTATAAAAAACCGCACCAAAATCCGTTGCGCAGTTTCAAAGATTTAAGCATACATAGGGATATAGGGACAGAGAAAGCGACTTTGTTTTATACTATGTAGTGATGACGACTTACTCACGTGAATTAACTGAGCAAACCTCGACTAGTTTCAAGTCAAAACGGGACTCTTATTCATGAACAGCGTGCGCGTCGCGGAATATTTATTTTAGATTTTTAATAGTTAAAAAAGTAGTAGAAAAGTTTTTGACAATTAAATAAAAATATTGAATTTGACTAGTTGGAAACTACCGAGTTATCATACTAATATCCTATTTTGCAGATCCTACAAGACATGATGGTGGAGATAGACTACGATGCTGACGGTACCGTCTCGCTTGATGAGTGGAAGCGGGGAGGGTAAGCAAAAATTTTATATTAGTAATATTGTCCATTAAGACATTTCTTTTTAGCAGACAGCTACGGATTTGAGAATTGACCTATCTGGGGTTTCCTGGGTAAATCTGGATAGGTGCCCGTGCTATCATCATCATCATCATCATCAGCCTATAAGTGCAAAGACCTCGTCTTATATATAAACGGTATGAACATTAATCGCCAGGTTAACTCACAAGGGAAATCAGTTTAAAATTGCCTATCCGTCTTGAGCAAGCGTGCTGATTAATGCCCAAACCTTCTCCGAAGTGAGAACAGGCCTTTGCTCAGTAGTGGCACTTATAGGCTGATGATGATGATCAAGATGACTCACACTCACTCAAAAGATTAACGATTTCAAGTTTATAATAATTATAATTCCACCATGTGTGTGGAATCTAAATAAACTTCACGGGTCACGAACGTCGGGGATCGAGAGATGATCTCCGGCCACCGTAAGCGCGGGTCTGCGGTCGGCGAGTAAGGGTAGCTCGCCACCCGACCAGAAACAGATCCGAGCGTACGGCGCGTAGCGTTCCGCGCGCGCCTCAAAGAGCCAGTAGACCACCACAGACGGGGCCCCATAGGGCTGATGTTCAGCCGGGGTTGCGGGGTAAGCGCAATGAGGCACCGCAACCTCGGCCTAGAGCAGGAGTAGGAACAGGGGTTTTTAGTCAGTAAGAGTCTGACACTCCCTCCCGCCCAAACCCTGGGCGGGAGAAGTCATTTGATTGATTTTTGAATGGGTCACGAAGACGATATAATTGTAATATATAGTCTGCTCTATTCCTCAAATGTTAAGGTGCAAAAACCCTTTTTCAGGATGACAACAATCCCATTGCTAGTTCTGTTGGGGCTGGATACGAATGTGAAAGAAGACGGGGAGCATGCATGGCGACTGAAGCACTTCAGCAGACCGGCCTACTGTAACCTTTGCCTCAACATGCTCGTCGGCCTTGGGAAAAAAGGACTTTGTTGCATTTGTGAGTACATTTATACTAACATATTTAAACCAGCGGACTCTTCCCGAAAACCCCCACATATTAAAAATTTCAGCGAAATCGGTTTTTTTTATTTAATAGTTCGGCAAACGAGCATGCGGATTACCTGATGGTAAGCAATCAGCGCCGCCCATGGACACCCGCAACGCAAGAGTTATGAGTGCGTTGCCGACCTTTTAGGGATTTGGAGATTTAGTAATTGGGGGAGGGGAATGACTAGGTCTCCGGTACCCTCACTCACTCGGTAAAACACAACGCTGTGGTTGTTTCACGCCGGTTTTCTGTGAGGCCGTGGTATCAGTCCGGTCGAACCAACCCGTTCGTGCCGAAGCATGCTCTCCGACACTCGTTAGGGCGTTTTCCGAGATCACATGCTTTTTCAAGCAATCAGCGCCATCTGCTGGGCTGATTTGTGAATCTAAACCATCCAAGGCTACAATAAAACGCATACAGAAAAAATCATTTAAATCGGTCAAGCCGTTTAGGAGGACTTCAATAACATACACACGTACAGCAGAATAACATATTATGTAAAGATATTCGAGAACCTTGCTTCAGCGTTCATGAATGGACAGGCTCAACCGAAGTGATACCACAGCTTTATGGAGCGTTAAAGAATGCTAAAGTTGAGCACAAATGAGACAACTTGACTGGAGTTATACCACGGCCTCACAGAATATGCTTGGAAAAATTTGAGTGTTGTGTTTTGCTGTGTGAGTGATGTTATTGTAAGCCTAAATCTCGCTCCATCGTCCTAAAAAACCTTAATCGTGTCCATGGGCGGCGCCTTTTGCTTACCATCAGGTGATACGACAACCCGATAGCCGTAATATCCAAAAATATATATATTATGAGGCCGAAAAGTTTGTTAGAGTGCGCTTATCTTCGGAACTGCTGGTTCGATATGAACAATAAACAATACGGTAGTTTCCAACTAGTCAAATATAATACTTTTATCCAAACGTCAAAAACGATACTTTTCTATGAAATTTGTATGAAAAACTGGGTAATGACGTCATAGTTTTTTGCGTCAAATAGCTTACTTATTTCTTGATAATTAGCTCAAAAAATTCGAAAACTTAGTGTATCGATCGATCGATGAATAAAAGTAGAGTTATTTTTCAATATTTTATTGTATTGAAACGTCGAATTATTTTATTTTTGACCTAGGAAACTACCCAATTCTGTATGTGTCCGATAAACCATTCATATTGTAATGCCACTTGAACAATGAGGGTGACATTATTAAATCCATTACAAAACGTTTTTAAAACACTCCCTTTTCCTCTTTCATTGGAGTTCTCTAACAAAGGCAATAATTGCTGAAATGCCACCAGATACAAATATAAATATATTTGATCATAGGTTTTTTAAATTCAAATACAAAATAGGTCGAATTATGTCAAAATTAAAATTCTAATTGTAATCTGCATGTGTATATATTGAATTTAATTTACAATAGTATTTATAATTATATTTAATTATTTAATAACTCAATATTCTAATCAATGAATTTAATTAAGTTATTCTCAAATATTTTATAACACTTCCTGCATAATATAATTGTTAAATAATCATGAAGTGTACACATGTGTAGGGATGCAGTTTGGATCTGTTTAACTTATTTTATAGATATTCTGTAATGTTATTGATTGTATCCTGTTTTGTGTGCCTAATAAAATAAATAAATAAATATAACTTTGTTGATGTACAGTGAATTATTTTTCATTTCAGTCTGCAAGTTCACAGTACACGAACGTTGTGTGCAGAGGGCGCCTGCGTCGTGTATTGCCACCTACTCCAAATCGAAAAGGGCGCCGGCTACGTTAGCTCATCATTGGGTGGAAGGTAGGAATCTATTATATATCTTTATATGTATATAACAATGTCGCTATCTCTGTCTGTTAACGCATGCCTAATCATACTCAGCCTATAAGTGCCCACTGCTGAGCAAAAATTTTCTCACACGGAGAAGGTGTGAGCATTAATCACAACTTATAAATAAAACGTTCGAGGTTTCCTAACGATGTTTTCCTTCATCATATGTCAGTTGTATCTAAATAATGTAAGAATGTATTTAGAAGTCGGAAATAGTAATAGTCATATTTGCCAGGTTTGCACCCACTCCATCATGCATGAAAGGTGGACGACTTAACCTCCGGGTTGCCACCACGCCTTTTTGTTGATCAGTAGAAAATGCCAGGAAAGACACCCTGACGAAGGTCGCATGGAACCGCTGGATGTAGATAGCTTCCAACCATCCTAGGAAGCCATTTCGCTATTTTTAGCAAAGGATGTCTTCTTTCTAAAACAATGACCAGCGGACCCTTCCCGAAAACCCCACATATCCAATTTCAGCTAAATCGCTAGGGCCGTTTCCGAGATAACAACACGCTTTTTCAAGCAATCAGCGCCATCTGGTAGGCTGATTTGTGAATCTAAACCACCCAGGGTGCCACTCAAACCCGTGCAGAAAAATTCATTTTCTTACATACATACGTACAGCAGAAGTATATGTATAAAGATAATTAAGGACTTTTTCTTTCTTTCAGGCAACTGCCATGGGAAATGCGCTCGGTGTCGGAAAAAGATTAAGGGCTACAATGGCATAACTGGACTGCATTGCCGCTGGTGTCATATCACTGTGAGTAACTTAATAGGTTTTATTCTGTGATGATAAACAATGGACAATCGCTACGCCAGAAGAGTTGTAAGAGCGTTTGCCGTCTTTTTCGGAGGAGGTTTGGGGATATTGAGGGCATTTGTCACTCGTTGATCCAGATTAAGGAGGATAGCGGTAGTTTTTTTAATGTACAAGCAATCAACTCCCCCTTTGGACACTCACAACGCCAAAGCAGTTGTAAGAACGTTTGCTTTCTTTTTGGGAGGTTAGCATTGGAGATATTAAGGGTAGCATTGCGTCACCGGTTAACTCAATCACACGGTGAAAAACACAAAGCTGTGATGGTTTCACATCGGTTTTCTGTAAGGCCGTGGTATCACCCCGGTCGAGCCGAAGCATACTAGAAGTTCTTGGTTTAAAGTATGGTAACAGAGAAAGGTCTTTATCAATAGTAGTAGAGATGGGATGGTTTTTCAATGTGATAGGACGGCAAATGAGCCGACGTTTTAGCTGATGGTGAGCAATCGCCCATGGATACCTTCAATACCAGACGATCGACGACGACGACGACGGGTAACGTGCCTTTTAGGGATTAGGGATTGGGGAAGCCAAGGATTTAGCTTCCGGTCATCAGAACTGGCAAGGATTGTTCCCCAAAGGGTATACCTGGGTGTCTTCAAAGCTCGAGTAAATCAGTAGCTTATGGGTAGGCTCGCCTCATCGTAAGTCACATCAATGCTTACCACCAGATTAGATAGTGGCCAAACGATAGTCTTTTTTTTATGTTATGGGTCGGCAAACAAACAGTTGGATTACCTGATGGTAAGCAATCAGCGCCGCCCATGGATACCCAAAATGAAAATGGAAGAGTTACGAATGCGTTGCCGACTTTTGGGATTACAGTTTTGGGGATTGAGGGAGGGATAGGATTGAGCCTCCGGTAACCTTACTCACACGGCGAAACACAACGCTGTGATTCTTCCACACCGGTTTTCTGTAAGGCCATAGTATCACTCTCGTCAAGCCGACCCATTCGTGTCGAAGCATATGTCTCTCCCACTTATAATATTGACACCATCAATGCGCCTAAGCTCTCCCACACTTGCTTGATAACGCTAGCACACGTTGCCCCCCGAGCGATGGCATCAACAGGCCGTGTAACACTTCCAGCTGCACAACCGGTGCGTGGGCAGCGCGGGCGGCGCGTGTTCGCTGGGCCGGCACGCGCGGCACATCCTGCCTCCCACCGCCATACGCCCGCTCGTACTCGACCGACAGAGGTCGCTGCCACACCGCCCGCAGAATGATCAGGTAACTTCTTATTAAGTATATTTTTGACACTCTTGCTCTCTTTAAAGTATTGGCATATTTTTTTTCATTTGGATGATCAAGATGCGTTTCTAACGAAAGTCTTTTGGCTTCAATTGAATGCTTTTATCTAAATTAGTCTAATATAAATTTTATATCTAAAGTAATAAACTCATCTAAATTTGGGTACCTACCTAGTCATTTTCTTTAATATGAATACATAATATTAAAATTAATATTGTTAATCGTTAAATAGTTTTCACTATTAAATTATCAAAGTTTTGTTCATTCGGTAGAATAGACGTAATATAAATGTTTCACTTTTCAATTATTTGGTATGATTTTTGAGAAAAAAACATTGAAGAGCCAAATCAAAAAAGTGTTGTTGAATTAATCTATACTAATATTATAAAGAGGTAAAATTTTTAAGTTTGTATGTTTGTATGTAGGGGGTAATCTTTGGAACCACTGGTCGGATTTTCAAAATTCTTTCACTGATAGATAGCTACAATGTTCCTGAGTGCTAAGGCTATAAAACATCACGCTACGATCAAATGGCGCCGAGCAGCGGGTGAAACCGCGCAAGACTAGCTAGTTCTAATATAATATGAAAAACAACAATCAAAATTCAATACACGCTAAACTAAAACTCTTAATTATATTCACAGCAATCTCTACCCACCTCAATATCATTGCCAATATCGATAGCAGCGTCTTCAGAAGAGAAGAAAGAAGAAAGAGAGAAGCGCGAACCTCGAGCACCCCCCATCTCCTTTCAAATCACACCACCTGATGGGTCTTGTCCCTTACTCGTTTTCATTAACCCCAAATCTGGGGGAAGACAAGGATCCAGGGTCTTAAGGAAACTACAGTATATTTTAAACCCACGACAAGTTCATGATATCGCTAAAGGAGGACCTATGCAAGGTAAAATTATCATTTTTTTTATGTTATAAGTCGGCAAAAGAGCAGACGGATTACCTGATGGTAAGCAATCGGCGCCGCCCATGGACACCCGCAACACCAAAGGTGTTATGAACGTTGCTGGCCTTTTGGGGATAGGGGTTGCGGATATAAGGATCGGGAAGGGATAGGGAAAGGGGCTGGATTGGGTCTTTGGTAACCTCACTCACACGGCGAAACACAACACTGTAATATTTATTAATTAATCTACACCCATATAATATTATGAAGCTGAAGAGTTTGTTTGTTTGAACGCGCTAATCTCCGAACCTACTGGTTCGGATTGAAGAATAATTTTTGTGTTTGTTACTCCATTTATTGAGGAAGGCTATAAGCTATAAAAAATCACTCTAGGATCTGTAGCAGCAGAAACCGAAATTGAAACAACGCGAAAGTAGCTAGTTCATCATAATCGGCCTATAAGTGCTCACTGCTTGCTTACCAAAGGCCTCTTCTCACACGGAGCCTATTCACTCTAGCCTTGAAGACACCTAAATTGTATTCGGACGGAAAAACTGCAGCCGGCAAGCTGTTCCAATCCCTCGATGTACGCGGTATAAATGACGAGGCAAAACGCTTAGTCCGGGCCGCAGGTGTCTCAACAACGTAGGGGTGGATAATTGAATTAACTTTGGTACAGACGTAGATTATAGTGTAGCTAATTTCATGAATTACTTTTAACTCGGAATCGCGAACAAAGGCGCTAGCTTTTCTTATACCTTTGACTGCACGGTTGGTGAGGTGGCAGGGCAAATGGATGCCTCGCAAAGTGTTGCTCTTGCAGTGAGTTCGATTCCCACACGGAACAATTCTTTGTGTGATCCACGAATTGTTGTTCCGGGTCTGGTCGTGTTGTGTATCTAAAATTGTATGTTTGTAAACGCAACCACGACAAGGAAGAAAATTCTAGTGTAAGTTAAAAAAACATAAAAAGTTATATGTTTGACTTACTTGACTAAGTTCCTATGTCCCCTAGGTGGGGTGAAGGGCTTCCACAGTATTTTTCCATTTTGACCTATTTTGGGCTAGGAGCTTAATTTCGGACCAGGACAGTCCTATCCTCTTTATTTCCGCCGCAACTGTGCGACGCCACGTTTGCTTAGGACGGCCAACTTTTCGCCTGCCTTGTGGTGTCCACTCTAGAGCTTGTCTCGGTATGTGTGTGGGACCTCTCTTGAGAGTGTGCCCTATCCATGACCACTTTCGGCGTGTAATTTGCTTGTCTATTGGCATTTCCCGGCACGCCTCCCACAAGCTTTCTATCGAGATCTTCTCTGGCAAGAAAATGCCAAGTATTTGCCGAAGGCAGCGGTTGACGAAGACCTGAATTGATTGAGTTATATGTATACCGTGATAAAATAGATGATCTTCTTTCTCTTTACCAGGATTGCAGATGTTTAAAGATGTGAAGAACTACAGAGTGATATGCTGTGGAGGAGATGGCACCGTCGGATGGGTGCTAGAAACTATGGGTAAGATCCTATTTGTAGCCTTATTATTATTAGTAACAGGGCTTAAACTCAAATGGCAGTTAAACGTGATGATTTGGATGTTAGTTCAGGCAAAATAGTGTTACCTAATAGAACATTTTTTGTTAACATAATTGTATGTTTTCTTGTATTTCATGTAACTTAAATACATTTACAATTTTAATTTTCATTTATCTATACACGCTAATTACACATTTCACATGAGAGTTTCTCAGGGATCTTTCTTGGGCCCGATTTTTTTAGTTTCAACTTTTTCAACCAATCTTCATATCTAGAGTTTACAAATACCTTAATAAGTAGTAATAAAAAACATTTAATACTGTAAGCATCCTTAATTCAATCGTTACTACTATTCGCGGGGCAGCTTTTTTGGCGATTACATGATACGGAAACTTACCGGTAGATGGCACTATACGCAATTTTGAACTGCAATGTTTATCGAAATTCGTACACGCTAATAGACAGATATTTCCTATGCACAATTTTAACCTCTCATATCCTGGTTGGAGGATCCTCCCTTTCACAATCTTAGAGAACACTCTCATCCTGAATCGTAATGTTGCAATTTTATTTATTAGATAAAGTCCAGATGGACACTCAGCCGGCCGTCGGAGTGATACCACTGGGTACTGGCAACGACTTGGCGCGGTGTCTACGGTGGGGAGGCGGGTAAGTGATAACTTAAATTAACCATAAGTTTGACTAAGTAATTATTGAGTTTTTTCTTAGGCACTCGCAAAATCAAAAACATCCTCGAATGGTTGCTTAAGTGCACCCCAGGAAGAATAAGAAACATGAAATTTCTTAATGTAGAATTATAAGAACGAAGTCTTGAATTGTGTTCAGTTTTATTGGAAACTTACATCATGAGGTAAAGCACGATTGGCGTGGTGGCTGGGCAACTAGCTGCCGCGTAACGTGTCGCGAGTTCGATTCCCGCACTGAACAACTCTTTGTGTGATCCACAAATTGTTGTTCTGGGTCTGGTTGTGATGTGTATGTTTGTAAACGCACCCACGACATAGGAGAAAATCCAAGTGTTTGGGAAAGTTGTTAAAAAGAGAGATATATAATAGGTCTTATACCTATGAAATTGCCGTTTTGCATGAAAAAATTTAAACGAATTTTTTATTTGAAATACGGTGAAAATGTAACACTAATCAATAAACAAATGACAACTTTTGGAAAAAGAATCCCATGTTTTTAAAACAAAATTAATAAGCCTTAGCCTAACAAAAACTATTTTGATTTGAAATGGCAATTTCATAGGTAAAGACCTATAAATGACGATTTTTTTATATTATTTTCTTCAGATATGAAGGTGAATCTATCCACAAGATTCTGGACAAGATAGCCCGAGCTAGCACCGTCATGATGGACCGTTGGCACATAGTCGTGGAGAATACCACTACTGATGTAAGTCATCTAGATCTATTTTCCTTTACCTATTCAACCGACAAAAATCACAAATTATGCATTTTCAGCTGTTTTATCATCATCATCATCAGCCTATAAGTGCCCACTGCTGAGCAAAGGTCTCTTCTCACATAGAGAAGGTTTAAGCATTGAAACTCGTGATCAAGACGGATTGGTGATTTGAAACTAAACGTCACCGCTTCCTGGTAGATCCCAACCTTACGCACGAAGCGATTTCGCCTCCAGTATATTCATCAAATCCACTAAGGAGTGTAATTCTTAGTGAGCTACACGTCGATTCTATAAAGTTTTTTTGATTTTGAATCTAGCTCGAGTGTGAAGTGAGCGTCGAAGTGACGGGGAAGTTACATTATGGAATGCCACTTTTAACGTCATCTCATACTTTATCTGTCAAAATGTTGCGGTCAATTTATTTAAACTCGCAAGTGTAGCGCTAGTATTCGTTGTGTGCGCGATGACAGCGCCCCTAGTGGCCGCAACTACTCAGGACTTGTCATCTGTCAAATCATATCAACAAGATGATAAGATTTTGATTTTCGACTAAGTTTTTCAACGAAATTGAAAAAAATAGTTTAAAAAGTGAGTGTGTATATTATACCCAGCGATTTCTTCCTCGTGAAAAATATGAATATTATAATATCTACGTACGGGATTTGAAGTTTAATTCTCTTCACAGCAGCTATCCATTTTTGTCTTTGCTGTAACGTCCACTTTGATGTTGGAAACGAATAAAACTTGCACGAACTGTGTTTCCCATTGTTTTTACAATTTACGACACAGCATTTACTATGACACATCGCATCGCAAGTTTTTACTTAAAATTATAAAGGAAGTTATGAAAATAGTCACAGCGGATTCAGATTCGAAGTTTAGAATGAAGTCTTACAGAATCACACTGCTAGTGTTCTTTGAAAACTATACCTGTTTGTCTTCAAGGCCTGAGTGAATAAGTTACTTATATGTAGGTGATCCATCGTAAGTCGCATCATTGCTTACTATCAGGTGAGATAGTGGGCAAACGATAGCCTTTTTTATGTGATGGGTCGGCAAATAAACAGTCGGATTACCTGATGGTAAGCAATCAGAGCCGCCCATGGACACCCGCAACAATGAAAGAGTTAGTGTGCGTTCCCGACCTTTTGGGGGTTACGGCGTTGGGGATTTAAGGATTGGAAGGGGAAGGATTGTGCCTCCAATAACCTCATTCACACAGTGAAACACAACGCTGTGGTTGTTTCACGCCGGTTTTCTGTGAGGCCGTGGTATGACTCCGGTCGAGCCGATCCATTCGTACCGAAGCATGGCTTTCCCAAACTGGCCTATCTTACTATCATTATAAATGTGATACTAATATTATAAATGCGAAAGTTACCATGTTTGGATGTTTGTTATTAAATCACGCCATACGGGTGGATGGATCTGGATGAAAAATTTATGGCACAGGCATAGGATACACGCCGGAATAAGACATAGGCTACTTTTATCAAATTATAATTAGAAATATCCTTCTCTGTCATTCTAAACTCTTTTTCAACTATAAACTTAAACTTCGAACCTTATTGTCCGCAGTGTGAGCAGCCTCAAATGCCTGACTCGGCACCGCACCCCACAGTCGTCCCGTACAACATCATCAATAACTACTTCTCTGTCGGAGTCGTGAGTATTAAATAATTCTGTAACGCAAATCCGCCTTACAACATACGTAAAGAAGATGTGGATCGTAATAATCTTGGAATGAAGTTCCATATCGCGCGATGCGAAGGGGATATCTACGGAAGCATTAAGACGAAAATTGTAACGATTATCTCTCTGTCTCTCTTTCTCTCTTTATATATTTATCTGTCTCTCTCCCTCGCTCTCTTTATTACATCATCATCAGCCTATAAGTGCCCACTGCTAAGCAAAGGCCTCTTCTCACACAGAGAAGGTATGAGCATTACCTAATCACCACCCTTGTTCAATGCGGGTTGGCGATTTCAAACTTATAAATTTGAATGTTTTTATAATAACTATCGTGAGACATACTAAATTAACTAAAATTCGCGGGTTACTCACGTGCAAATGTTGAGAAAAGCTCTACTAGTTTCGAACCACAGAGGGGTTCTTCCTCAGTAGGCTGCGCGACGTCGCCGCGTCCGCGAACGCTGCTCATGAGGAAGAACCCCTCTGTGGTTCGAAACTAGTAGAGCTTTTCTCAACATTTGCACGTGAGTAACCCGCGAATTTTAGTTCAATTATAAATTTGAAATTATAAGTCCAGGTTTCGTTACAATGATTTCCTTCACCGTATGTCAGTGGTGTCTAATTAATCATAAAAAGTACATATAACCCGGAAAAAGTCACATTGATACCTGCCAGGTTTAGAACCTACACACTCATGCATGAGAAGCGGGCTTATTAACCTCCAGGCCACCACGACCCTCTTTATAACAATAATTCGTTATTTAGAGTCAAAATTATGCGAAGTAAGTGCTCCTTCATACTTTTCCTTAATATTATTGTCATTAATGTATCCTCAGGACGCGGCGATTTGTGTGAAATTCCACACGGAACGGGAACGCAATCCGGACAAGTTCAGTTCTCGTATGAAGAACAAGCTCTGGTACTTCGAGTTCGCTACTTCAGAGCAATTCGCAGCCAGCTGCAAGAATCTGCATGAGCATATTGATATTGTTGTAAGTATACGGAAAGTGGTTCACGGGGACTAAAGTCACCCTAACATTCAACTCTTGAAAAGTTTTTGGTAACCATTCTAGTATTAAGCCAGTTTTCATAGATAAGATAAGATAAGATTTTATTTCGCAAATATGGGTACAAGTAAGGTGTTACAATAAATAGAGAAACAGCCATATTTTACCAATAACAAGGCATGCAAAAAGTACAAAGTAATAAAGCCTTTAAATTTTGTGATACTATATAATATTATTGAAATATGACCATCAATTAATAATAATAAATAATGCAATCAATGTCAATCCATTACAATATTATTCCAATTCATTAGTCAGCAATATAAATAATAACAAAATTAATTTGTTAACATATAAAATAATTAATATCACATGATTTTCTTATTAGAATACATTACATAAAACAGTAAAACAATATAATTCTCCGACAGATAATCCCCAACACTATAGTAACTTTGTCCACCAGAAAGTTTCGAAGTTTTTCCTTGAAACATGTCAAGTTGTTATCTTTCCAACAACATAAAAAATCTTTCAGTCATTGTATTAGTAGCTAGTCGAGTTAGTTTTTTTTTTGGGACTGCAAACAAATCAGCCTGATTACCTAATGGTGCTATCAGTGCCGCACAAGAACTCCGTAAATTTTAGAAAAGATCAATGTCCTTTGCTGGCCTTTTGGAGGGTTAGATAAATGGGGGATTTAGGATACGGTATAACTGAAAGAAGTGGAGGATTCTCTATATAATAAATTTTTAAAAACATCCGCTCCACGTATTTTATTGGTCACTACGAGTAGCTACTCTCTCGCGGTTTCAACCGCTTCGGCTCTATTTGATACCGTGATGTTTTATAGCCTATAGCACTCAGGAACAATGTAGCTATCTATCAATGAAAGAATTTTGGAAATCCGACCAGCGGTTCCAAAAATTACCGCCTACATACAAACTTACAAATTTTACCTCTTTATTACTTGGCTTCTTTAACATCGCTGTCGAAGAATCGTTAAAATCTAACCAGCAATTTCAGAGATTAGAGCGTTTAAACAAACAAACAATCTCTTCGGCTTTATATTAGAATAAGCTTGTAGATTAAAATTTTCCAAATTCCAGTGTGACGGTGCATCCTTGGAACTGAACAAGGGTCCTGCGTTACAAGGCGTGGCTCTACTGAACATACCTTACGCCCACGGAGGTTCCAATCTATGGGGGTCTAGTGGGGCCCATCGAAGAGGACGGTTCCCCAACGCACAGCAAGGTAAGGGGGTCCACGTTGTCTACTGGGGTAGTAATGTTGTCATTTTTTTATGTGATAGGTCGGCTACCTGATATTGGCGTCACTCATGAACATCCAAAACACCGGAGTTTCAAGTTTGTGCGTTGCCGGCCTTTTGGAGATAAGGGTTTCGAAGATTTAGAGATTGAGGAGAGATGGGGGTAGGGGAAGGATTGAGCCTTTGATAACTTTACTTATACAACTAAACACAACGCTGTGGTTGTGTCTGTGAGGCTGTCCTATCAATCCATTTGTGGCAAAGCGTGACTTGCTAGATCTTCCACCATGTCAGGTAAACGGCTCCTCCGTTTAACCTTCACCATCTCCAACCCCTAAATCTGTAACTTAAACGGTCAACAACGCACTCGTAACTCCTCGTTGTGTTGCGGGTGTACTTAGGCACCGATTGCTTACCATCAGCTAATCAGTCTGAACGTCAAATGTTCGGTGCTAAAATGTGTTAAACCAATAACAGTTGATCTGTCCTTAGTATTACATATATTTTCAGATATCGGTGACAAGTTAATAGAAGTCATCGGATTGGAAAACTGTCTGCACATGGGACAAGTGAGAACTGGTAAGTTTTTTTTTTTATTTTGTAATGGATAAGCTGCTATGGGACCTACAACGGACCATGCCTATCCATAAGCAACGTATTCACTCGAGTCTTGAAGACACCCAAGGGTATACACCCTTCGGGGAAAACAGGCGCCGGCAAAGAATTCCAATCCTTAGCGGTTCTGATTATAAAACTGGAGGCGATCCGCTTCGTGCGTGTAGGTGAGATATCCACCATGAAGCGATGAAGTTTTGCCGATTGTCTGTTGGTACGATGGTGGAAAGGACTAGGGGGAACCAAGTCTTGCAGCTCCCGTGAAGATTCTCTGAAATAAATCCGATGAACAACCGAAAAGCCCTCAACTAGTGCTTTACACCTTATAAGAAACCGACGTGAACCATGCATTGTATTTCACTATGTGTGTGAGGTTACCAGTAGTCAAATCAAATTCAAATTCAAATTCTTTATTTGCATGTTAAGGTGGGTACAAGGATCTTAAATTAAAATAGCAGGCACAGCTTAACGGCCTTTTTCAGGCGTTGCAAAGAGGGTTATTACTAGCTTATAAAATAAAATTAAATTACTTAATTTACATCACATTGTATAAAAGAGAAAAAAAAAAACAAAAAAGTTAAGAATTAGATAAATAAAAAGTAGATAAATAAATAGTCCAATCCCCACCATCCCCAATCAAGCATCTTTTTTGATATTACGGGTGATTCACGCTACTCCATTCATAAAAGGTCAAAAGTTGACAATAACGGCATCTTTCTCTCTCCAGGTCTTCGTGCATCAGGCAGACGGCTGGCACAGTGCAGCTCCATCACGTTAACGACTAAGAAGACATTTCCAATGCAGATAGATGGAGAACCTTGGATGCAGCCACCTTGCAAGGTTAGGACATTATGTATTCCCTCCATCATCATGATCCTCCTCATCAACAACAGTCCAAGGCAGTCCACTGCTGGTCTTTAGGTCTACTCTCTAAAAGAATGGCATTTTTGTGGAACTTTCTTTTTTAGAAAACGTTGCCTCACAATTGTGTCGTGGATGCGGTTACAAACATACAATTTCACATACACATGATACCCAAATTATTGTTCCGGGACAATAATTTTTGGATCACACAAAAGTTGTTCTTTGCGGGAATCAAACCCGCGAGACGTTGCATGGCAGTCAGTTGCCCAGCTACCGCACCAACCGTGCAGAACTTTTGAAGCTATCGTTAGAGCTACAGCAGTATGGTCTAGCTAGGGATTAGCCCATTAATGTTCCCTGTCTTCGGCCTGGAGTAGGAGAGGCTCCAAACTTCTAACTCCCTCTCGTCCTACACAGATCCAAGTCATAAGAGTGTAAAAAAGTCTAAACCTACCCTATTTCTACCTTGACAAAATTCATGTTATGATTCCCGCTCCCTTTAGAAAGAGCGTTCTCTCATATACCTAACGCTTTAACACAGCGACCTCTAATCCGATTTCCAATCGTGGATCCTGGAAAATCAGCGGTGAACTTACACGGACTGTGTAATGATGAAAGACTGGATCAAGAGCTCAAATTAAAAATAAAATACATTATTTTTGTTTAATTTCAGATAATGATTACTCATAAGAACCAAGTTCCAATGCTGATGGGACCAGCTCCAGAGAAAGGCAGAGGATTCTTCAAACTCTTTACTCATTGCTAACTTACACTACAAACTTCCCACTTTATCAATCTACTTATTACAACTCACTTCTATTTATTTATAACTCACTTCTGTTAATTTACAACTCGCTTCTGTTTATTTACAACCCACTTCAATCGTTTACAACTCACAAGGATTTATTTATGGATTGATCAATCGTTCTTAGTGAATTCACGTGTTTGAATAGATAATTTTAAAAATATACTCTTGATAATTACTATTTAAAAAATTGTTGACTGTTTACTTTTGTAATCATAGAACTCTTCTTATTTTATTCATTGATTGATCAATCATACAATAAAATAAGTTATTTATTTTTTAAATTAAAGAAAATTAATAACATTTTTACCTTATTCGATTTCTCATTCAATCAAAAAGTTGATCAACCGTCTAATATTTTACTAAAGATTGATAAATAACAAAGTAATTTGGAACAAAGTTTATACAACATTAATATCAACTTTCTATTAATAACAATAAGATCAAATATTGCTCGTATTTTCTGAAACAGATTTGGTACAACAATTTTAATACAATTGAATATAAAAATATACTTAAAATCTTTAATATTTTTCCACACAAAGATTTGATAATATCTGATAAATTTAATACCTACATAAATAAATTATATATAATTTCATTTTTATACATTATTTTTTATAAGTAAATAATAAATGCATAATTGTATATTTATAAATATGAATGCTTGCTATGCTTCGATTCCTATTTATATTTAAAAGAAATTATGGACCTAATTTCATCCAACAAATACTTTTCTCAAACAAAAATAGCTTAAAATGATGCTGGCAAAAATTTACAACAAACGCCAAAACTAAAAAAAAAAAGTCAAACAGAATATTTCAATTAGACCCTTACATGGACTTTTGAACGTCAAACAAAGATTAAAGATATAAAGTGTCAGTCCATCGGTCAGTCCTCTTAGTAAAGCTATTTGCTCGTTCCATAGTGTAGATTCCTATGGAGAAGAACGAGCAAGAAACTCCATGGTATACTCATTTTAAAACAGTTGGTTCAATTATGTGAGAACAGTGTAACACTCATATTTATTCAGAGAAATTTAAAAAGAAAATAACCTTAAGGACAATAGACGGTCCGGAGCTGACCAGTCCCTACTGACGACGCCCGTTCACGAACATGACACGTCCACCGGCATCGCCCAACGCAACCATATTATAGGGAATTGAGCGACATCTGTTTAAAGAACTATTGAAATCATCTAAATTGTACCTAAGTAAATGGAATTTAAAAAGACTTACCAGTGTTCAATACGGTAGGTTAAAACTAACTAATTGAAAACATAAAAATAATGGGAAAAGTAAAATTACGATCTATATTTATAAAAGATAAGATTCAAAATTGACTGTTCATCTGTCAATGGTTTTCCTCTTTGCTAGCTTCGCTCGCGTCAATTTCAAATTGAATAAATTTAAGTACAACAATGTACTCTTCTAATTGTTTGTTGTCTCTTTCTAATTATATAGGGTGACTGGTAATTAGTGTACGATTTTTAAACACTTGATTATACTCATGATAATTAACAACTTTTGCAAAGTAACTTTTTATCTATATTCATTAGTTTTATTTTTATTACTAAGTATAACAATTTTCGCGCGCCCACCATTTGTCACCCGATCAGCTATGCTATTCTACAAAATTTAATTGCCGAAATCAATTATGAATCCGCCATGAAAACATTAAAGTTTCGTATTATCAAATTGAGTGAAATCTACATTAGCGCCACCTTGTGAAAAACGAAGTGAAAGGAACTAAAACAAGTATTTTGACGTTTGCGTACAGGCGAGATGAGAAACGTAGTGCGTAGCGTGTGATTTTCGAAATGATTTTCAAGATGACATTTACCATTAACATATTTTGAACATGCATGCTTGCCAGTAATTTTGTTATGGTAATAAAAATAAAACAAATGAAAATAGAAAAATTGTGTCAATCAAATTAATCACGTCATTAAATATCGGTCACTAATTACCAGTTACCCTAAATATTTTTTAATGCTTTTCCTCTATCTGAAAAAGATCTCTTCTTCTTCAACTCCTAAATTTAGCATCCGTGCCATACTAACACCCGGTTTCTGAAAGGCTTGTCAATGCTAATATTAACTAATCTCCTGTTAAATCTCTTGTCACGTCATCTGATTGGTTGTTGATAATTCAGTCAACCAATCAGATGACTTGACAAGAGGTTAAATTGATTTTAACATCCATCGGCCTTTCGGAAACCGGGTGTTAATCTATTATAACAATCTATAATTCCTATAAAGATGTCTGATAAAACACATTTTCTATTAGTAAGGAATGCTCTTGCAGAAACCCTAACGTCCATTTTTGCTAAATTAGGTATAAAACATAATAATATATACATTTATAAATATATTTATATGTAAAACATAAATATTATATTATCTACAATTGAAGTCCAATTTTAATGAAATTAAATGAATTGAAGTTAAAAACTCTGAGGATATTTTATTATTTTTACTTAATTATTTTTTGTCAATAAAAATTCATTTTAAATAATCAAAATATACTTGAATCTCGCTACATTTAAAGTCAATCTTGCATCAAGAATATGACTGTTACGAGTTTTAAATACAAAATTATATTACTGTGTAATAAAGTCATAAATATCAACAAATCTTAGAAAAACTAAGCCAAAGATGATGCCCAAGATTTATAAGCAAATTCGTCACAAAATGATCTTTATAAAAAATATAATAAAATAGAATAAAGATAAATAAAAGAGTTACAAAATATCATAGAAATGAGAACATTTTACTATACATATAGATAATATTAGTTGCTTATATCAAATGGTCAAATACTTGTAGTAATTTGTTCCCAAAAAGAATTATTTATTTTAAATGAATTTATTTATAATTATATATTAATTTAAAAAGTTACATTTAATCTAGGTATCAAACAATTAAGTTATATTTTTCTGCATTTTAAAATACGTCCCATTAATTTATTTAAAATGAATTTTAGTTTTCCGTATTAAATGTAAAGTTTAATGTAATTGTAATATAAGTTAAATGTATGATTGTCTTTATCATTATGAAATGTTAAAGATAAAAATCGCTGTTATAAAATGTTTACAAAATATTTAAGACATTACCAATGTGTTGTTTTAGTTTAAGATATATAATTTTAAGGCTTTTAAATGTAAAACTTGTACTGACATAAAATTAATTCATTTAAAATGAAAAAAATATGATGTTGTGTAAATGTAAATTTTGTGTCGTGATAATGTTAAAAGCTTTGTCGTGAAAAGGCATTCACAGTTTTAATTATTTTAACATTTATTTATTACACTACATATATTTTGGCGTAATATACTTACCTACATTTTTTATTAATTCATTTTTATTATTTGAAATAATATTTTTATGTGAAATATTATTGTAAAAATAATATCAATGTTGTGCCAAGAAGAAATGGATACGTCCTTAATTCCTACGCCAGCATTTTTGTAAATATTTTTCTATAGATTTTATCCATTTTTAGAAAAGAGATAGATTATATTATATATATTTAGTATATATTTAGCGCCATACATTAAACCAGATGTTTTATTATGAATCGCGATCGTCATGCTTCGACTTGAGCAATAAAAATCACTTTAAGGTGTAAAGCGTGTAAAGAACACAGATTTTATTGTTTTTTAAAGTGTTCAATTAAATATTACGTTAATCGGTTGTATGAAAATTTCCAGTAATTGCACAAACTTTAGATTTATGTTCGGCGTAATTATAAGAGCACACTTTATTAAATGGGAGTGTGAATCCCTGCTTAACCTACCCCTTCGGAGATAAAAAAAAATCACAAAGGTCTTTCTTTTACTTACCGTCAATTCAAATAAAGAAGTATCAGTTCAGATTGTGGTCGCGGGTGCAAATGTCACGTTGCCTGCTTCGGAGCAGATAAAGAACGAGTTAGTTTGTATCCAGTAGGAGTCTGATACTGTCTCCTGTTCCACCCAGGGAGGAAGAAACTATTGTGTTCTCCTCTTAAAAAAATCTTCGATATTTCCTGTTTATCTTACTACACAACTGCCAAAAAATCTTATGCAATATATTTATTGCAAAACATTTTTTATAAGCTATACCTTGTTTTGCTAATTAATACTTCACTAAAGTCGATATGTCGATCGCGATTCCTTTTTATAACCTATGTACAACGTTATTACTTATACGTCATTTAGAACATACGACTTTCGCCACACTCAAAGCAACAGAAATTTGATAATTTCCCCTGTAAAAAAGGACTTTCTCTTACTAGATGAATAGACCCGACAAAGTTGCAGTTTGAGTAGCTGGGCACAGATCGCCTTCCAACAACCGCTTCCAACAACAAATCTGAAAATTATTGATAGAAGGCCTACCTATGATTTATTTCGTTGTTCGATCCACGACGTAATTTTTTTTGTTTTTTTTTTTTTTGTTTTTAATGAACACGTTGCCCCACACTTGGATTTTCTCCTGCGTCGTGGGTGCGTTTACAAACATACAATTTCACATACACGTGACACCCAGACCCGAGACAACAATTTGTGGATGTTTGGCGGGCGCTTCGATTGCGCGACAGCCAGTTGTCAAGCCACCGCACCAACCGTGCACTCTAATCATGTCCCTGCGACACGTCAGATTTCAGTTTTTCGATGTTTTCATGCTTGTATTATTTACTACTGCATAAATCCAATATTGATTTGTTTTTGCATACATAAATAACGTTGTACATAATTACGTACCTATCTATGTAAATATTTTCGTAATTATTTGTCATTGAATCGTCACAAAAATCACATCTGTCCGCGTCTGTGTTGGTGCTTTTAGTATTAATGTGTAGCATATCTTTTGAGCACACACACTGTATAACAAGTTAAAAAAATTGCCGTTTTGCATGAAAAAATTTAAACGATTTTTTTTTATTTGATATGCGATGAAAATGTAACACTAATCAATAAACAAATGACTACTTTT